GGGAGCCTCGCAACACGGCGGGCGCTGACTCTCCCCCCTGCACGTAGCATCGGATCGGCGGCTTCAGAGGGACAGAGGCGGAAGGGGCACAGCAGAGACAGGCGGATAAGATGGCTGGAGGCCAACAGAAAAGGGCGAAAAATCGCCCCAGAAAGACACTACAGCAAACGGCAGCAGAGGACGAGGACAACACTAAGCTAATGACAGACGATATAAACGTGAACGCTGTACCTGCTTTAGAGGAGGAAGCAAGAGATACAGATCAAAGCCACTCTTCCACAGCCCAAACAGAAGGAGATCACACGGATCATGGATTTCCAGCATCAAAGTCACCGGCATCCACTCTATCCCTACTTGATCATACAGTGGCAATAAGCTTCCCTAGAATCACCTGAATGTAAAGATACGGGTATTGAACATTTGAATCTCCTATGGGGTAGGAAGTCTCTGATGTGAGTGAAAAAAAGAGAGGTATATCACCCAGAAAGAAAAATAGGGCTGTACTCACATTGTACGCAGCCGGCAAAAAATAGTCCTGGTTAGATCCCACAACGATACATGCATGTAGTTGTTTGCGGCAAAAGAGTGTCCTTATGAAACAATGTCACTGAATGGGATCTATTTCATTGGTAAACTTGGACTCCCACCGCTGTCCGAGATGCGGGGTTATCACCCCAAAAGAAAGAGCCTCCAGAAGGGTTTTCAAAATGCACGACCGTGCTGATAAGTGGAGTATAGTGAGGTTTCCGCAGTAGGGTGTCCAACGGCACGGCACGGGATGGCAGCTGCAAATAATCACACCGGCATTGGCTCGCCTATGTCTCCCGATTCAGTGCCTTCGCTATAATGGACAAACGCTCACTCCTATATCTCCGGCCTGGCTGTGGCAATCCGAAGCCGCTATCATTACGTGCGGCAATGTCCGCATCAGATCTGATAGGTCCACTCCCTTCGGTGGCTGCAGAGATTCGTAGTTTATCGTTCTCACCCGAACGTATAGAGGTCAGCACAGGGTGTCTAGAGAAGCTGAAACACACGCTATCCTGACGCGTTTCCCCCCGATGGCCGGGGCTTCTTCAGAGGGGCGTGTGTGTAAAGTCCTGCATAGGTGTGTTTAAGTAGTCATACTAATAAGAGCTAATTGGTAATTCATTATCCAAAAAGGATACAGGCATGTAGTTCAAATAAATTAAATTAATTATCCCCAATACAGTTGAGTATAATAACGTCCATGGAGTCAATCTAACATCATTTTTCTTATACATATAAGGATAACATATAAAAATAAATATAAACGGATACATAAAAATAAGGACAACATCTCATAAATAAAGGATTACACAAGGTCTCCGATCTCCCTTATAATCCTGAGATCAGCTTGATGCAGAGGACAAGTGAACAAAAAGTCCCATCCCATCTGGGAAAACCCAGACTGGTATTGTCCGCATCAGAATTGGAGGTAGTATTATATATATGTGGGGGGCAGAGAACGGTGGGGTATTATTTTATATGGGGGGAGGCAGAGAACAGGGGGGAGGGTATTTATTTTATATGTGGGGATGTGGAGGGCCGCAATGTTTACATTGCTTTATCTTAATATTGTTGTTGTTAATATTTATTTTTGTAACTTTATTCTGCCTTCAACATTTAAAAGTGTAATTTCATAAGATAATTTAAGAGGGTGGGTTTAGGGGCGGAGTTAAGGCCGAGGCAGGGTTGGGGTTAGGTGGGGCAACTGGTGGCGAGTAACTCTTAAGGCCTGGCTAGTAGCTCAGGACTTGAAATTTTGAGCCCTGACGTAAGAGATCTGGGAACTCGCATAGAATCAATTGAGAACAAACTTGATTTAACGATTGCTCGAACCAATAACAATGCCACATGTATTCAGGAATTACAGGGCCAACTAGAAGAGGCACTTTCTAAAATTGACGATCTAGAAAACAGAACTAGACATTATAATTTTTGGATCAGAGGAGCCCCGGAATCTATACTAGAATATACCACAAGACTCGGCTGTTTCACATACAACCGATCAGCGGCTCTATAGCCGCCAATCGGTTGTATGGCGTGAATTTCGGAGGGCTCCCCCCCCTGCCGCGCGATCGCGGGTGCCGCCATCTCCCCCCTCCTGACTCCTCACCTTCCGCTGCCCCATCTGCGTCCCGGGACCTGCTCGGGAGGGCGTCAGGAGGAGGAGGGAGGGAGATCAGCTCCTTGCTGTTCTCCCTCCGTAGTGTGAATGCAGAAGTGATGTGTATTACATCACTTCCGCATTCACCTGTCAGTCATCTGGCTCCTATGCCAGATAGAAGAAGCTGATGAAGCAAATCTGTGCTTCATCAGCTTCTTTTGGGGTCTCCAGGTGACATTAGGGGTCTAGAGACCCCTAATGTCTCCATAAAGAGGACCTGTCAGTGTACCTGTGCTATTATATAGGGGGATGGTATCCCCCTATATAATAGCAATAACAATAAGTGTAAAAAAAAAATCTATATAAATAAAAAAAGTTAAAAAAAATAAAAGTCACAAACAAAAAAAGTTTAAAAAAATAACAGGTCACAAATAAAAAAAAGTAAACCCCCCCCCCAAATGTTTAAGTCCCCCCACCTTCGTTTACGCACATTTAAACGTAAATATGCGTCGCATGCGCCAGCACGCGAAAATGACAATTGCGCTACACATGTTACATATCGCCGCGAACGTCGCAGTGAAAGCAATCATTTTAGGGCCATCAATCACTGATAACACTAAACTGATGAGCGGTAAAAGCTTTTAATGCGTCGCCTATGGCCAATTTTGGGTAATTTAGTTTTTTTGAGGTTTCGCGCGCGTGCGCGCGCAATTTTAAGTCTTGACATGTTTGGTGTGTGTCAGTCAAAGTACCGCAGCGCTGAATACTGAAAAATGGCCTGGATGGGAAGGGGGTTTAACACCGCGCATGTCAACTGGTTAAGGAAAAAATGACCAAACATTTTTTTTTTACATTATGTTATAATACAATTATTATTGCCCAATTTTTTGGTAAAATATAAAAGACGGGGTCACATCGGGTAAATAGACATCAAACATGTCAAGCTTTCAAATTGCGCACACCCACCAACATGGGCGCAATCGTCGATTTCGCACAGATGCGCACCCAACGCATGTTTGCATGCGTATATGTATGGGTGGGGACTTTAAAAAGTTTGTTTTTTTAAATTATTTTTTATGTGTGACTTAAATATTTTTTTGGGAAACTTTAATTTTCTTTTCTAATTTGTTTTCACTTAACTTTATTGCTATCACATAGGGGGCTAAGAAAACCCCATATGTGATAGCAAAGAGATGTGACAGGTCCTCTTTTTTGGCGTCTTCTATCGGCTCCCCCTTGGCACTCATCACAGGGTGTCTGCAGAGCTAGCTCAGGGACTTTTGTCTCCAGTCAATCACAGGCCGCCCTGCCGTGCCTAAACCCCTCCCACTGACCAGCCAGCGGCACAAACTTTTTTTTCCCCTTACAGCTGAAAACTTTATTGATACTCAGCAGAGCTAGTGAGCGCATCAGACCCGGAAAGGTTTCAATCCTTTCCGGGATAAAATGTCTCTCTAATAGCGGGAGACTCCCGGACCATGTCTGGGAGACTTGGGATGTCTGGGACCCTGACATTCAGATTGTTGCTCAACACCTCTTCTGCATCGCCACGTAGGAGTTTTTTTCTTTCTAATGAAAGTATGGGTAGTAACACCTGACACTTGCATAAATCTATCCCTAAAATCTTTGCTAATCGATAGTAAAAAAAACAACATTTAAGATTTAGGATTAGAAATGCTCCGGCCACAAATGTAAAAGTAGCCTTATTTGTAAGATAAAAGGCCCAAGCCTGAAAAGAAAGAGCCAAGTACAGAGTCTTCCTCACCTGTTATCTTCCCCAAAGCATAATACTATATTACAGGTGCTCTTTGCAGGGTGGGTGAATTTTATTTTAAATGTAGAGAGCAGCAATGGAAAAAAAATTGCAAATTAACTAAATGTAATCCCCGTACCACTGGTAAGCAGAAGTGTCCTTTCATACTGTCTGCCTTGTGTAAGGCCATTGCAGTATTTGCATTGGCTTCTGCTTTCTAACACCACAAATGCATTGGATGAATGCTTATGGAGGAACAGAGATGGTGGAATCTGTGCCAGGATGGAAATGACTTACTCTTAAACCCTTGGTTCTCAACCGGTGGGTCGTGACACAAAAGTGGGTCGCGACCCTGTGTTCAGTGGGTCACCACATGGCTTCCATTTTTCTAAGTAAGAGGCTCCTCTGCCTCCCCCTATCGCAGCACTGTCATTTCTGGTGCCAAGCAGCCATTCAAAATATGCTGCCCGGCGCCAAGCGTCAGCTTGAGGTGGGATGGGATGGGGCTATGGCCACGAGGGAGCTCCATCCATACGTGCATTGCTTACAACTCCCTCGTGTGCCCTGTAGAGGGGCCTGGACTGGAGTGACGTCACATTCTGGCTCCCAGCACCTATACAGGGCACGCAAGGGAGCTGTACCAGCAATGCACATATGGATGGAGCTCTGTCACAGCACAGCAGCTCACACTGGACTCCAGGCTGAAGATCCACTCCAGTTCTCATAAGATAGGGAGAAATTGTGACCTTAAAAAATATTAACTTTTTTTGGAGTGTGTATGTGAATGTCTGGGAGTGTGTGAGATTGCATCTGTGGTTGTGTATGGTACCCCAAACTCACCTCCCACCCACAGTTCGTATGGCAGCACCGGAACGCACGGTACCCTAATGCTGTGCGTTCCATTTCAGTGCGACTTGGGTCACAACTTAATGACACAGGACAAATGTGGGTCCTGAGGTATACAGGTTGAGAACCTCTGCTCTAAACCATTCCAATCCCCATCTCCATCCCTACATATTTGTCTGTGTGTACTAGATGTCAGCTGAAACTGATGTAAGCACTACACTGGCTCTGTCCGGGGCACGATTTTCAGATCCTTATGGTTTTTTCAGCCTCTTAAACAATAGTGGACTTATACTTTAAAATCGTGATTTGTCCTTTACCTTTTTCAGTTCGTCTGGATTGTCCCATACGGTTCGTGCAGAATTTTGCTGGAGAGCTATTCTTTTGGTCGGCAGGGTTGTGTACTATGCACAGGACCTCCATGTCCCAGGACTCCAGTTGCAGTGACATCTGGATTGTGTCTCCAGGATTATTATACCACTGATAATCAGAGTCTCCATGTCTATATTTCCAGGTATAGGACAATGATGATGTGTTTGTTGGGATTGAACATCGAAGAGTCACATTGCACCAGTCACTGGTCTTCTCTATGGCTTCAGTTTTTATAGATGGGGTAGGAACAGGTTCTACAGGAATGGAAAAAAAACCCATGACATCTTTGTATTTTTTTAGAAAATTTACTGCTTTTAGCTAATTTTTCTACAACCTGATTGAAGATGTTTTATACCTAGGGTACCAGGAACAAGGACCTTTATGTACCTAATGCCTTGCTCCCAGAGGCTCCTTCTACATTGTAAAATCGGTCCTCGCAGCTAGGGCCTGGATTTACTCTCCCTGCTGCCCCAAGGCCAGGTTCCGCAATCCGCCCCCCTCCCCGCCAAACCCCCCCTATCAATGGAGAATGGCAACCGGATGGCAGGGGCAGTTTTAATTTTGTTTTAACTTTTGTATCACTTTATATTTTTTTAACATTTTTAGCTTATTTACTTTTTTTTAAATCTTATTGTTTATTTTTTATAATTATTCTCTTATTTTTTAATATTTTTTTACTTTTTAATCACCTTTTAATTTTTTCATTTAATTATTTCTTATTATTTTAAAAAAAAATTATGTATTTTTTTATCAATTAATATTTTTTTCACTTAACTTTATTGCGAACACACAGGAGCTAATAATCCCCTGTGTGACAGCATTTAGAGGTGACAGGTTCTCTTTATTGACCCAGCACTGTGCTGGAACTCCTGTGATAGGTGAGAGGGGAAGACTGCTCTCCCCCTCTCACTGTATACACTGAGCGGCAGGGTTACTTTTAACCCTGCTGCTCTGCTCCCCGCATCGGCGGCCAGTGAGGAGAGAGACTCGGCGGCCGGGGGGAGGACGGAGCCAGAGGAGAGAGGTAGGTGCGGGGGGAAGGGGAGGATGTACAGGCTACAGACATAAGAAAAGTGATCACGGCGACATTGCTGTGGTCACTTGTAAACGACAAGCGGCTTCCTCACACTACATTCAGTCCTGCCTTTCCAAAGCAGGACTAAATGTAGAAGGCAACTTACCGCCCGGCACTGCATGTTTCGGGCATTGGGGGATTCCACACCACTGCCACCCCTCTGCTCCCTGCCTCCCCGAGGCCGGGCTCCGGTGGCCTTGTGGGGAATCCGGCCCTGCCCCGGCCTTAACTCCACCAGGTCAGCAGTGTGACGCAGAGTACAAAGATAAGTAACAACGCACAGTAGAGAAGTCAGTGGTGCAATGCAGAATACAGAGGCCAGCAGTACACCGGTCAGCAATGTGACGCGCAGTGCAGAGGTCAGCAATGTGACGTGCAGTGCAGAGGTCAGCAATGTGACGTGCAGTGCAGAGGTCAGCAATGTGACGCACAGTACAGAGGTCAGGGTGTGACACACAGTACAGAGGTCAGGGTGTGACGCACAGTACAGAGGTCAGGGTGTGACGCACAGTGCAGAGGTCAGGGTGTGACGCACAGTACAGAGGTCAGGGTGTGACGCACAGTACAGAGGTCAGCAGTCAGAATGTAATGCAGTGCAGAGGTCACAAAGAAAGTACAGGGACTTACAGTTGCTTTGCCCTCTTCTTCTCCTGGTGATGGTGGTGGAGCAGCGAGGTTTCCTACACGTCCAGCTGGCTTTCTCTCCTGTGCAGCAGAAGCCGGCCAACTGCAGTTCGGCAGTCTTCCTCTCCCACTAATGGCAGCTGAGGTGGGCGGAGGAAACTGCTGTGGCTGCCAAGGAGCCCAATCGAAGCGGGCACAGACGATGGCAGTCAAGCTTCTTGTTCTCTTCTCCCCGCCGCCACAGTCTTAAAGTCAGAGCAGGCCAAGAGAGGAGAGATTAAGTGCTTGCGGTGGTGGGGGGCGTTCGCAAATGTATCAGAGAGGCCGGGGGGGCAATTGTCACCCTGCCCCCGGGCCTAGTCCGCCCCTGGGTCAGACTAATCAAGCACGTGATTAATATGAGTGCCCCACTCAATATAGCCACAAGCGAGGGGCATACTGAGTGGGGCAACTCAGATTAATAATGTCCGAAAGATGTGGACTGGGAGGGAGGGCTCTTTAATACTACTCTGATCACACCGCTGAGGGATCCCTCTCTCTCCTCTCGACCGCTGCAGCTTCAGCACCACGAAGCGCGCACACAGAGAGGCGGCTCTGATCACACCTGTCAGCGTTCCCTCTCTCTCGGCTGAAAGGAGAGAGAGGGAGCGATAACAGGTGTGATTAGAGCCGCCTCTCTGAGTGCGTGCTTCGTGGAACTGACGCTGCAGCCGGGAGGAGAGAGAGGGATCGCAGAGAGCTAGTGTCGGCTCTGAATGGGACACTAGCGCCGCGGTAATCGTTCGCTTTTGTTCTCGCTTCTCTTTCTCGGCCGCTCTGTAGCTGCAGCAGTGGAGAAAGAGAAGAGAGAACAGAATTTGTAGATTGCAGGCAGTGATAGTCTTGCATTGTACATGAGGACACAGAGGGACCACCCACAAGCCAGAGTGCCAGCTGCAGGGTAGACATGTGCGAAAATTCGGACGAAATTCGGAGATTCGGATGCATTCGAATTCCCGATTTCCCGAAATACGCTAGCGGTAGTCCAGTTGAAATTTCGTTTATTGGATGAAATATCGTTGCAGCAAAGTGACAGAAAATAAAATTGTTTTTTTTACAGTCTGCAGAAGATGAAAAAAAAAAAAAGCGTGAGGTTCCCCCCCAATTCATACCAGACCCTTTAGGTCTGGTAGGAATGTTAGGAGGGACCCTCCCCCAAGTTAAAACCAAAAAAAAATGCGTGGGGTTCCCCCCAAAATCCATACCAGACCGCTTGGGTGTGGTAGGAATTTTAAGGCGGAACCCCAGCCCCAAAAAATGGGGTCCCCCTAACATTCCTACCAGACCCTTGATCCGAGCACTGGCCCGGCAGGGCAGGAAAGGGGGGACGACGATCGAGCACCCCCCCTCCCTGCGCCTTACCAGGCCACGTGCCCTCGGCATTGGGAGAGTGTCCCCGTGCCGATGGGGACAAGGGCCTCTTCCTCACAACCCTGACCTGGTGGTTGTGGGGGTCTGCGGGCAAGGGGGCCTATTTGCATCGGGGTACCCCTTTAAATAAGGGGGCACCCAGATGCCACCCTCCCCCATTGTGAATGAGTAAGGGGTACTTGTACCCCTACCCATTCACTAAAGGGTTAAATCAAATAGTAAAAAGTCCAGACTTTTGATCAAATCCTTTAAGTGAAAAAAACCCAAAGATTTTTTGACTATTCCTTTAATTAAAAAAATAATTAAAAAAATGGCTCCATCTATGTAATCCAGTGTCAATCACGATGCACGACCCCTGCCAACCCACCGGAAAAAAAGAAATCACGCCGCACAACGACCGCCCGAACCTGACGAAAACTCGCCGCAAAATGACATTCCTGCTCGAATGTCAACAGATGGGCGGAGCGAGCCATGACGTCACGGCTCGCTCCACCCATTTGACATTCTCAGCTGTCATGCTACATAGCATTCAGGAACTTCCAAATGCTATTCGGGTCTGTGAGCCGAGGTGTCATAATGCTTTTCTTATGACACCTCGGCTCACAGACACAAATGGCATGCACTCCCACGCACTTTTTGTTTGTTTTCACTTGGGGGAGGGTCCCTCCTAACATTCCTACCAGACGTAAAGGGTCTGGTATGAATTTGGGGGGAACTTCACGCTTTTTTTTTTTTCATCTTCTGCAGACTTTTTTCTAAAAATTTCTAATGTCACTTTGCTGCAATGAACTATCGTCCAATAAACAAAATTTCCACCGGACTACCGCTAACGAATTTCGTCCGAATCAGAATCCCGAAACACATTCAATTTCGGACCCCAATCCGAAAAACGAAATAACGCAAGATCCGAATCAAAACAATTTTTTTGCTGGTGCACATGTCTACTGCAGGTGGAGTGAGAGATGATGTAAGTAAAAGTATTTGTTATTGGGTTACCTTTAGGCAAAAACAAGCATATACCTTTGCAGTGTGGTGGAACCTGGCCCCAACTGGAGTTCCTCTGATCCTAGAAGGCACTCCTCCCAAAAAGGAATGAAAAGAAGCTCCTTCCGTGCTTCCTAATTAGCTGCAGGTGGGGAATTCCCTGCTCATAACTTGACATAAGCAAAGGGGTGGGGTGCAGTGATGTCATTGACCTTATATGGCTACATGGTTATTTTATATAAATGGCGTCAGCACAAGCATACCCCTTAGTTTTTTGTCAGCTCCTGTTTGGGTGGGAGGCAGTTGTAGCTTTTATGTTTAAATGGGTTCAGGTTCAGACCAAACTCCACAAACATCCCTGTCAGGAACCGGTTTTCGTCAGAGCAATAAGTGCAGGTCAGCAGACAGATGGGAGTTGTGAAGGCAAATCTTAGATCTTCAGGGTCTATGTACGAGACCTTAACAATGGTCCTAGCAAATGAGCACAGCCAATAGACATACAAATCAAATGAAAGCACCGTGTTGAAAAACACTGACTTGTCATGACCCTTGGCCAAGCCTTGTGATGAAGGAAAAGCAGATTTCTACATTTTGCCTTTTTACATTATCACAAATTTCAGGAAGTCATCTGACTAACTGATCACACTGAAATGGCCTAAAGACTTTTGTAAACACAGGGTTATGTTATTACACAGATGATCACATACCGTACACAGTGAGATTGTAGGATGCGTCAAGGTTTGTATTGTCCATAAAGGTTATGGTTACAAAGTAGAGGCCACTATCATGCAGTGTTAGTTGTCCAATCCTCAGTGCTCTTCCATCATCCAGTATCTCCAGCCTTCCTTTAAACTCATTTCTTATCACAGTAAGTTGACTATTTGTAAAAGATGCTATTGTGTGAGTTTGGAGGTTCCAGTAGACATGTTGCACAGGATGAGATGTAGCCACAGATGGTGACAGGATGACAGACTGGTTTATAAGGCCATTCACTCTGATGGGGACAACTTCTGTAAACACAAATAAAAATTTGTCACTTTGTAAAGGGTAACATTGGACACATTGGAAGCATTTTCTACACAAAGATGAACATTCCATAGCGAGCACTTTAAAATAACATCTGCTATAGCAAACATTTTTGTGGTCATACATTTTACATGGAAATAAGATTGTAAAAAAAAAATAAAGTCAAGGACCAGTCAAAATTATTATGATTTTTTTTAAATTGGGGGCAACTTAAAACGTCTGCTGTCTGTGTTGCCATAGAGCAGTGGCAAGCAGCCTTGGAACTCCAGCTTTGGTTAAACTACAATTCCCATCATACCTGAATGATGCAATGCCTCATGACATTTGTAGTTGCACAACAGTTGGGATGCCGAGGTTGCCTACCTTTGCCATAGAGATTTCTCTTCTTGTTCTGACACCCAGGGATGGATTTACATCTCAGGAGCCTATAGATGCAGTAAAATGGTGCCTTAATCTTCACTCAAAAAGGCCACACCTCAAGCCACACCTTTTCTTGTGCTCCTTAAACATTTCTCTCAAACATATATAGTGTTAGAAGAGCCAACGCCCATTCAAATGTGACAACTGGCCTGGAGGTACTAGGGGGGCTGGTGCGGTAAGCAGCTTCAGTTATCACACCTCTATTTATACCTCTAATGGACCAGAGCAATGTTCACATTTTAGCAATAGGCCTATTGTAGAAGCAATAACTTTGTCATCCACACACTTTACAATCTGATTGCACAATCTCCTTTAGATCTAGCAACATCTATGTATTGGGAGGGACTGTCTGATTGGATACATATTGGTTGAATAGTTTAGGTAGGTCCTCATATGTACATTTACAAAGAAGGCATGGAAAGATTATAACATGAATGTTTGATCTTAACGTGAGTAGCAATACATTTTATTCTAGAAATTGACCCATTTATAATGACACCAGTTAATTTGGAGTTCATTAGGGTTTTACTCCTTGCCACCAGGCCCTTTTAGACCCCATTCACACTGAGCGACATGGAAATCGTGCGACATTGAGCGACGTGTCACGCGACATCTTCCTATTGGGCTGTATGCAATCAGGAGCAATATCGCTCAAAATCGCTCTAAAAAAGGGTCATGTAGGAGCGACAAGCTACCAGCGACGAGCTACAAGCGATATTGAGCAACGAGATGTGAACAGCTACATTGAAATGTATTGGTGAAGCTACATAGAGCGATATAGCGCGGAAATATGAGCGATATCGCTGCAAAAATCACTCAATGTGAACGGGGCCTTAGGGTGAAGCAGGGGTGTGATATTTAAAAAAAAAAAACTATGTATTGTGATTGTAATGTCTTCCTTTTACTTGTAAACCGCTGCACCAACTGTTGGCGCTATATAAATCCTGCATAATAATAATTATAGAGTGCTGTTGCCTGGCTACCACAATATGGCACACTGTGGAATGAGGGCAGCACTCACGCATGATGCCCTAAGCGTGCATTTATGCGCATGCAGATGGCGGAGGCGGTAGGGCTGGTTTTAATTTTGTTTTATTTTATATTTTTTACTTTTTCATCACTTTTTTTTTTTTAAATGTATCAGCGTTATTAATATTATTATCAAAAAGAAGAATGTTTTCTCCGAAGAGAGATCATCATTATATGGGCGTGCAACTCTACTTCGTCGCATATAATGCAGGTTAAAGTGGTGACAGCTATTCCTGCATTATATGGGATGATGTCAGCAAGGGAGTGACAACAAGGCTGTTTGGCACAGCCAGAATGGCCTGTAGCACCCTGGGTAAGGTAATACAGCTTTATCTTGTCCCCAAGAAAATAAGCCCTGGGGGGGAAGAAGAAGAAGATCAATTTTATACTACTGCTGGTCTCCCATTGTTTTGAAGACTCCCGTGTTCTTCCTAGCTCCTCTCCAGCTCCTACAGCCACTATCCCTTTGTGTACCCGAATGGCCTTCTTCCTCTCAGCACCTTTAGCTGTTCCACATGCTGCTCAGTATACTAATCCTCCACTCTGTGCCCATGACTCAGTCTCCTCCACTCAAGCTTTTCTCCTTACCGCCCTGCATGCTGCCCCTACAAGAGAACTGTTAAACACTCCTGTAACAGACCAGGACTCAGTGGTCATTTTGATGAGCTAAGACTTGGCAGTTTCAGACACCCGTCATAAGGTGATACCTATAAGCACATGCCCAGTATACCTTACAGTAAATCCGGCCCTGCCGGCGAGTACGCTATATGATCAACAGCAGAGCTTTTATCTCAGCAGGGCAGTGCTCCAGAGTGTTAAGAAATCTCAAAGTTAATGGCATAGTTCTCTGCTCCTCAGACTGACACGTGGAAGGATATGAGGCAGTATAGGAAAGGGGAAAGGTGCAGAAAGAATGCACTGCATTGTATGAGTTCTGTCACTAAAGAATAATTGTTGAGCTGTGCATTGGGATTCGGACAAACTGCCAAATCAACAAATGTCTGTCAATTGGGAAGTTCATCCAAATTACTATATATTCGGGCCTATAGTAATTAGTTGTATGGGCACCACCATCTTGGTGCATATGACGTCACGTAAAAAGACACACCACCTTCTTGGGTGCACCAAGATTGCAGCGCTCATGGTTTCAATGTGCACATGCGTGCGTATGGACACGCCGGCTGTCAACATGGCCACCGCACTTTTTTTTCTTAAATGTACAGGTTTTGCTTTTACATATAAATTACTCTTGAAGCCAAAGTCCAGCTTGGGCATAAGTACCAAATTTGCAGCCCCCAAAGCAGCCTGAAAAGAAAAAAGCCCCTCCAGTTAAAAACCACCTGATCTCTGGAACAGACCCCCACAGACTTAAAGGAGAACTATGAGGTGAGTAAAAATCACTCATCCTCATAGTTCGAGCCGACGTGTGGCAATGAAACTGTCACACGCAGGGGCGTATCTGCCGCGAGGCAAACAAGGCGTTTGCCTCGAGCGGCAGATTCTAGGAGGGCGGCAGGAATGCTGCCCTCCAAAACATTTAGGCAGACGGGCTGCACCGAAACCGGCAGCCTGGCTGCCTAATGTAAACGGGGAGGAAGCGGCGGACGGGGAGCAGGAGGATACCAGGGATGGAGCGGCAGGAGGCGGAGACAGAGCAGATCGGGGGCGGAGATGGAAGAGGCGCAGTGGATACAGAGGATGCAGGGATTTGAAGACGGCAATGGAGGAGGCGTGGCCCGGGGCCGGCTCCGGGGGGCCCTGCAGGAGGTGCTATGGGCCCGGCGGCGCTGCGGGGAGGAGTGCGGGCGAGGGGGGTCCTATCTTGAGGAGCTGGTGCTGGATAAGGCCGACTGCCTGCTGAGCTGCGAGAGGCTGCAGCTGGGGCAACCTTCCTTCTACCGATTGACCCAGGAGAAGATCTTACAGAGGGAGTCGCCCTACAACTACCGGCAGCTGGCGCACTACAAGGTGGGTGCAGGGGGGTGAAGGATGCGATGCTCTGCAACTGGGTGGGTGCAATGGTCTGAAGGGCATGGGTGAAGTGGTCCTTAACTGGGTGCAATGGTCTGCAGGGTATGGGTGAAGTGATCCTTAACTGGGTGCAATGGTCTGCAGGGTATGGGTGAAGTGGTCTGTAACTGGGTGCAATGGTCTGCAGGGTATGGGTGAAGTGGTCTGTAAATGGGTGCAATGCTCTGCAAGGTATGGGTGCAGTGGTCTGTAACTGGTGCAATGCTCTGCAAAGTATAGGTACAGTGGTCTGTAACTGGGTGCTATGCTCTGCAAGGTATGGGTGCAGTGGGCTATAACATTGCAGGGTAGCAATACAGCGATCTGTAACTGGGTGTCATGTTTTCCAATGTATGAGTAAAGTGGTGTGTACATGGGTGCAATGCTCTGCAGAGCAGGGGAGCAGTGCTGTGTACTGGGTACATATGGTAAATAATCTGCAGGGCCTGAGTAGATGTTCCAATAGAAGTCCTCATCGAGTCCTGGGACAGCGATGGAAGAGGCGCTGCCAGAGAAGATGTGACGATTGGGCACCGAGGCAGCGGTGGAGGCTGGGTTTCCCGTGCCAGGTAAGAGAACTGTGCTGGCAGGGCCCGGCATAGATTCTGCACAGACCACCAAAGAGTCTCAGGTAGGCTGTGCAATACCCTTTGGCACAGCACCCCTGAGATCCTGCAGACTGCAGGGTCTCTGCAGGATCTGTGATGGGGCTTTGCCGGGCCTCAGGGGGGCTGTGCAGGATCTGTGGGGGCCTCTGCAGGGTCTCAGGGGCTCTGCCCACCACAGACCTCGCGGAGCCCACCACAGACCTCGCTGAGCCCACCTGAGACCACAGCTTTCTTGCTACGCTAATAGCGGAACATGTCAAAAGCTGGATACAGCGTGTGCACTGTATCCAGCGACTGACAGGTTACGCAATGGCAGCTGTCACTGTCACTCATGGCTCCCTGCAGGGATTTCCCCCTCCCCACTCTGATCCTCCAGCAGTGACTGGAGGCAGGGCCGGCCTTAGGCCTTTAGGCACCCTGTGCAAGGAAGCTTTACAGTGCCCCTCAGTGACCACACCCCTTAGTGGCCACACCCTTCAGTGACCACACCCCCAGTAACCACACCCCCAGTAACCACACCCATTTCCCCCAACATCCGCACCATTTAAAGACTCCTATTTGGTTAAGCCGCAATCACAAATGAGGTTTAGACACTTTGTTATCACTTGATTTATACATAGTTGTTTTTGATATTTTCTCATTGGGACGTTATTCACTTATATGTATATACACATATATACACCTTGAGGAGGTAACTAGTCCCCCAGTTCGGTGGATATATATATATATATACACCTTCAGAACAAGGCAATATATTAATTTATATTTTACACCTACTTTCTTACGGAATCCACCTTTAGCGCTGTGTTATCACTTGCACATCATATTTTACCAATTCATAGCAGCTTTAGGATTAGTATTTTAACTTTTTAGCCCTATCTTTCCAAGAGCGCAGATTATTTTATCTAAACAATATAAGTATTCTTATCAAATAAAACAACATAAGGTAAACAATAAATGTCAAACTACAAATAGTCTATACAAATAAAGTGTCTAGAAAAGTACAAATAGAAAACCGAACACAGAACCTAGACTACTTGTAAAATGAATTAATTACTATATGTCCGAATATACGAAAAATATATTCAGGCACATAATAATTTGTTTGACAATGTGCGGCGGCCATGTTGGCCACCGGCGTGTTCTGTGAATGCGTGCCACCATCTTGGAGGCGGGGAGCATGATGTTACATGACGCCATGCATGTGTGGCATGAGGGGACGTCACACACCGATATAGGCACCGGCATCTTGGTGTATACCTAGATATACACCAAGATGGCGGCACCCAACACGTGCGGTGTTATATGATGTCATGCGCCCAGCCTGCAAAACACGCCAATGGCTGAATCCAAAAGAGCAGAAAAATTATTTTTGTTTGATGAAACAAATTAAACTTTTTTAGTTTTCGTTCATTTCACCTGAAATGGTGTGTGTGTGTGTGTGTGTGTGTGTGTGTGTGGTGAAGGGGGCACATTTTCACTTTTTAAAATAATTTCTTTAATTTTATTTATTTTTTATTTATTCATGTGTTACTGTTAGGGGGGCTTCAGGGAAATATTAGGGGTCTAAACAGACCCCTGACATTTCCCTTTTAAAATAGAAAAGAAATTTAGGACACAAAGTCATCAAAGGCTTCACATTCAAATATTTACTATCAGCAGTTTCTGAATGGGGAGGAGCCTCTGTACTGAGTGCTTCTCCCCATTGAGGAAATCTTGAATGAACAGGAGGTGATGTAAATCACAGCCTGTTCATTCATAACTGGGGACACATAGTACTATGTGTCCCCAGTTATTTACAAACACTGGAGTGATCAGACGATCGCTCCAGTGTTTGTCCTTCTCACACAGAGGATCGGTAAATATCAATGATATTTACCGATCCCCCGCTCTGCCTCGCACAGAGCCGCTGTCATCCTGAAACTGACAGGATGACAGCGGCTTCTCTCCCCCTCACCGCTCGCCCATCCTGACAGCAAGCAGCGCTCCCTCCTGTGCCCCGCCAGCGATATACTGAGCTTTGGATCACGGGAGGATGCTAGTATATGTCCTCTCATGACCCTTAAGAGAACTATGGGGAAAAACACTTACCCCATAGTTCTCTTTTAAAGTGACACTAAACTCAAGAGTTAAGTTCCAAAAGAAGCATTCAAGTTCCTTAACTATTAACAAAAAATGTATCTTATTTGTGTATCACTCGGCTGTAGATCCTCAAATCTCTGAATTGGTGCTGACACTGTCCTTCCTTCTGGAGGGTGGCTACTTTTGTTCCCCCAAGGCCCCTGTGTGTGTTGTAAAGTAGCCACTGCTCCAAGTACAAAATACAGTTTAAATTAATTGCAGTATGTAATGAACGTCTATATGACTTTACTTCTAGC